TCAGTTTGTGCCACTCATACTCGTACCAGGATTTAAGCATCTTGGCAGCTTTGTCATCTCTACCGCATCCTATTGAGAATTCAATTTCCTGTACATACCAGTTTCTACCTTCATCACTATCAACTTCATCATCCTGTTCCTGATCCCAACCTGAGGCTCACCGTCTTCAGAAGCCTGCACAGCTGCTCTTTCTGGCTCTTGGAAAAAGCACTGAGACTGGCCCTTCCCAAGGCTCTAGAGGCTATTTTTATGGGCTCTCGCTCCACGATGCTCCTTCCCTCCTCATTGTTTACAGGACATGTGTCCTAGTTAGGCACCTGTACCCTGAGTCTCTGGTCTATTTCCCAAGAGAGTATATTATAAAAAGCTGAATTCAGCATTGTGCATAGAGGGAGGGAGGGGGGCTCAAAGGCTCTTGGGGAGTCTAAATAAAGAAGAAACTCTGGGAAAAGAATGGGGGAAGTTGAGTGATGAGGATCTCCTCAGGAAAAGTTTATATGGATAGACCTGTGGGTAAGAACTGGAATAACCGCCGAAACCGGTTTGGCTCAGTGGATAGAGCGTCGGCCTGCGGACTGAGAGGTCCCAGGTTCGATTCCGGTCAAGGGCATGTACCTGGGTTGCGGGCACATCCCCAGTGGGAGATGTGAGAACTGGAATAACCTATCCTCAGCCCTGTAACTCTGAAGAGGGAGATGATAGAGGAACATCCCCAGCAATCAGAGGAGCATACTTCTCAAAGGACAACTGAGGCGGGCAGGGAGCACTTTCCCTCTGAGCTCTTCTCCTGAAATGGGAACATTAGTCTGGACCCAAGTAAATCCCCGGAAGTGACCTTGTCTACACACATGGTCTAATGTTTACATTTTACCTTTATGGCTTTTTGTTGTTGTTGTTCTAAACTCTGTTTCCTCTGGAGAGCTGTAGAAAATGCAACTGTTAACAGTAATCACTTTCCACAGAGTAACACTTAGCATTGATTCCTTGGGAAAACAGTGGAATTGCCACTAGTATAGCCATCACTCTGAATTGATGCATAATAGGACCTGGAAAATAGTCTCTCCTGTTAAGGTCTCCAGATGATTGTTAGGAGAGGAATATTCAGGCTAAAGTTAGGATCTTTTGTGCTTTGGACACAGGAATCCTGGAGACAGGAGAGCAAGTGGCTGGCGTCTGGTTCTAGGTCTTACACTTTCCTACTCACAACTTCCAGGTAGAGATGTAGAAGGAATGTAATCCTATTCCCTCTGTGCACTAATTTCCCTTCTGCCCTACCTCTATCTTGTTACTTAGAGGTTCTGAATAAAGCATCAAAGACTTTGGTAGCATCAAATAAAGTTGATTGACATTTCAATGAAGACAACTATTACATGAGTCAATAGTCATTCAATAAAAGTATGTTGCTAAAGCATGCAGTTTACATTGGTCAAAATATCTTGGTCCTCAAGCTTTTTAAAAATAAATAATCCCTCTCCACTCTCAAATCATAGGATGTAGCAAAGAGACAACTAGAGGCTTAAGTTTGAACCCTTGTCCTACCATTTCATGATTAGTTCTCTTTGGACAACTGCATAAGCTCTCAGAAGTGAAATTTTCTCATATTGAACCTTTCACAGAGGGGTGTTTAAAGAATAAAATTGTTTTTACATTTTCATTGAGTTAACATTATGACCCTATTTTGTTCAAAGCACTTTACTACAGGTTAGACAGAATGGTATATCAAAGAATGGTTTTTGCCACTTTAGAAAAGGAGAGTAAAACTTAAATTATACCAAGAATTACACTAGTGCTCTTGCTGGTTTGGCTCAGTGCATAGAGCATTGGCTTGTGGACTGGAGGGTCCTGAGTTTGATTCCAGTCAAGGATACATGCCCAGGTTGTGAGCTCGATCCCCAGTAGGGGGCATGTAAGAGGCAGCAGGTCAATGATTCTCTCTCATCAATGATGTTTCTATCTCTCCCTCTCTCCCTCTCCCTTCCTCTCTGAAATCAGTAAAAATATATTAAAAAAAGAATTACACTAGTAATAATAATATGATGATACATCTTTGTTTTATAAATGTTTTCTTCACTTATTAGTTGAGTTTTATTGTATCAATTTGATTTTATAAGAAATATTTAGTATAATTTTGAAAAGCTAATTGGAAAAACCTTAACTTATTTCTGATTTTAATAGAAAATATATAGTTAAAAAAAGAATTGTTCCATGTTAATAAACAGGATTTTGCCCTAGTGGATAGAAAGTCAGCCTGCAGACTAAGGGTCTCAGATTTGATTCCAGTCAAGGGCACACACTTGGGTTGTATGCTCAATCCCTGTTCCCCAATCCCTGTTCCCTTGTTGGAGTGCATGCAGGAGGTAACCAAACAATACATTTCTCTCATATTGATGTTTCTCTCTCTCTGTTTCTCTCCCTCCCTTCCATTCTCTCTAAAAATCAATGGGAAAATATCTTCAGGTGAGGATTAGCCAAAAACAAAACAAAACAAACAAACAAAAGACACACACACAAAAAACAGAATATTTATCTTGTTCTACAATTTAAAAAATAATTTACATTTTACATTTTTTCACTAGCCTCAAAATTCATGGAGTTTACTGTATAACATTTATGCATTAATTTATGTATTTTCTAATGCTGAAACATTATTTTTCTCTGTAATTATTCTATGTAAAAAGAGTCTGATACTCTTAGTTGTTACATAATATTAGTGAAAAAAATTATCACTTTGAAGTCAATTTTCATTTATGTAAACTGACATTAATAGGGGTATCTCTCTTTTAGGATTATTTTGAAAATTAAAAGAACAGAAATAAAGCACTTGGCATTCAGTAAAAACTCTTCTAATTATATATATTACATTATTTTAAAAATATATAGCCAAATTAGCTTGTCAAATTTATAATTTTGTACCTGAATTTCTATATGTGGAAAGAAAAATTTGTATTTTTATTTCTTCTGAATTTTTTCTTCTGTATTTCCCCCTTTCCCCCTATTTTCTGAACAGAATAATGTTCAGAAAATTTTCTAAAATGATTTTGAAAGCTTTGCAAATTTTTTAGTATGGTAAGAGAGTTCACAAGAAACACTCAAAGTTATCATGGCTTCACATCTTACTTGGAGGAAAATCTGCAAAGACTTTTTTTTTGTCATCTTCCTTCATAGTTTTGATTTGCTTAGATTTTGAAATCTTGTTGGTGTCAATATTGTACTTTCTATTTAGAAAATAATGATTTCACCATTTTTCTTTATATATTTATACAAAGCATAACTTCTTCAGTTCACTTCCTCTCGGTTTACATTACTGTCACCTTAGCTCTATTCTCTGCATATCCCTTGCTTGCTCATCCTACCTTGAGTGTCAACCAATTAGAAGACAATTTCTTATTTTTCAGTTTCTAGAATAAACCCCCCCCCAAATCAAATCTGATCTAGCTTCCATACGCTAATGAGAATGACTTTATGCAATCTGAGTAGCCACTCTCTCTTTCAGTCTGTCCTAAAACTCACCCTAACAAGGGAATGGGGTTCTACTGAGTCCTCAAGCCAAGGTAGAGCTGTATTAACTCTTCCGGCTTTGTAGACTCCTGACTGAAAGACCCTCTGACCAAGGTAAAGGCTGCAAGTCTATGAAGAGCCCCAAGCACTGGGATAATCTGGAGCTGGAGACCTTACTTCGTACCACTGACTGCACTAGGATTGGATTTGGTAAACTAAATCTAGATGTACTAGAAGTAGCCACCACACTAGAAATACATTTGTTTATTTCCAAATCTTTTAATGTTTGCAAGGTGCACAAATTTTCACAACAGTTTTTTTTTTTTTTGAGTTCACAGTGACAAGTTAATATTGCTTTATAGCATTTTATTGGCAAGGACACTGGAGCTCAAAGAGCTTTATGTGAAATTCTCAGGTTTCAGTCAAGGGTAAAGCATGAATTTAAATCTGGGTCTTATGACTCCTGGTTAATTTCTTTACCATTGTATTCTGCTGGGTTTTCACAAAATCGCACACCATTTTTAAGGCATGAATTTCAGCTTCTGACATGTGAACGAAGAGCATCTCTGTGTGAAGGGAAATTATTCAAAGCAGTTATTTCAAGGCATGACTTTTTGGAAACGCTTTTCTTCCTTTAGAAGTTTTGTACTACCAGTGGGTTTAGATGTGAGGTAATTTTTGTACCTTTCTGTGGCAAAGTAGTGAGATTGTTTAGGAATTTTTTAGCTATGCCTTGCAAAGGGGTGTACAAATTATGAGGAATGGAGGAAATGTAATGTGATTGGCTTGTGTGGGAATGCCAGAGGAGTGTAATAAAAATATTTTCATTGTTTTCTTCTGTTTTGATCTCATGATTGTTTTAATGAACTATTGTGGAAGATCCTTGTGGGACTCAATGTCAATAACTTATTATTTCTTTTTTCTTTTTTTGTTAATCCTCCCTGAGGATTTTTCCCCCCATTGCTTTTCAGAAAGTGGAAGGGAAGAAGGGAGGAAAGGCCAGAGAGAGGGGAAGAGAGAGGAGAGAGAGAGAGAGAGAGAGAGAGAGAGAGAGAGAGAGAGAGAGAGAAAAAAACATTGTAACATTGTGTCCTGGTTGGTTTTGTTCAGTGGTTAGAATGTCAGCCCAAGGACCAAAGGGTCACGGGTTTGATTCCCAGTCAAGGGCATGTACCTAGGTTGCAGGCTCGATCCCCAGCCCCAGTTGGGGTGCAAAAGGAAGGCAACTAGTTGATATGTCTTTCTGACATTCATGTTTCTCTTTGTCTGTGCACCCCTCCTCCCTCCTCTTCACTGTCTCTAAAAAACAATTTTTTTTTTCCAATGGAGAAACATTGATGTGAGAGAGACACATCAACTGGTTGCCTCCGGCACCTGTTCAGACCAGAGGCAGGAAGTAAAGCTGAAACCCAAGTACGTGCCCTTGACCAGGAATCAAACCTGAGACCTTTCCTTGCATGGGCTGACACTCTAACCACTTAGACACACTGGCCAGGGCAGTGTCAATAACTTTTAGGGTTAAACATCCTTAGCACACGCTCTCTTATCTGTTTTGTTCTAACCCCATAGATTATAGGGTTGAGAGCAGGAGGAATAATTACGTACAGATTGGCGAGAAGTATGTGGATGTAATGAGGGATATTATGACCAAAGCGATGTGTCATGAAGGAGAAAAGGGCTGGCAGGTAGAACGCTAACATGACACAGACATGGGAGCCACATGTGCTGAGAGCCTTGTGCCGGGCATCCCAGGATGGGAGATGGAAGACTGCTCGGAGGATTTGAACATAGGAAAATCCAATTACAGAAAGGTCAATGTATCCCACTGAGAAAGCAATCAAGCCATAGATAACATTGACCCTAATACTGGCACAAGCCAATTTTGCTAAGCCCATGTGTTCACAATAGGTGTGAGGGATAATGCGCACACCACAGAATGGCAATCTCAGGATGAGAAATATGAAAGGAGTCACAAACACCAAAGTCCTGACTATGATGAATAGGCCTAGGATGGCTATCACCTTATTGGTGAGGATTAAGCTATATCTGAGGGGGTTGCAGATGGCAATATAGCGATCTATGGCCATGACCGTCAGCACCACGGACTCCAGGCCAGTGCATATATGGATAGTGTACATTTGTGTGACGCAAGCACCAAATACAATGTCCCTGAGGTTGAACCAGAAAATACCCAGCATCTTGGGGATGGTGGCTGTGGACAAGCCAAGATCAGTGCAGGCCAACATGGCCAAGAAGTAAAACATGGGTTGGTGGAGGCTGCGTTCAGTCTGGATCACAAAGAGAATAGTGATGTTCCCCAGGAGGGCTATTAGATACACTGCAAAGAAGGGGAAGCCAATCCAGATGTGCACATCTTCCAGCCCCGGA